CCACCTAACACCAGTAAGATTGGCCCACATAAACAAGAACACCAACGACGCTTGCTGGCGAGGATGCGGGGAAAAGGGAACCCTACTCCACTGTTGGTGGAGCTGCAAATTGGTACAGCCTTTATGGAAATCAGTCTGGAGAACACTCAAACAACTCAAAATCTGCATACCATATGACCCAGCAATAGCACTCCTAGGAATATATCCAAAACACCTGTTTTACGACAAACCAACATGCATCCCTATGTTCATTGCAGCACAATCAGTAATTGCAAAAACATGGAAGCAACCGAAATGCCCATCAGCAGAAGATTGGATAAGAAAGCTTTGGTTCATCTACTCCATGGAATACTACTCAGCTATTAAAAAAAAACAAAATGCAGTTCTTTGTGGCTAAATGGGCACAACTGGAAACTATAATGCTAAGGGAAATGAGCGAATACCAAAAGGTTAGATACCACATGTTTGCCTTGATTTAACTTGTAATTTTTGTTTGGTTGTTGGTTATTTTTTGAACCTGTCATTGATACTGTCTCAACCCAGATGTTTCGAAGAATGGAACTTGCATTATTTTTAACATATTGTTTACCCAATACTATGTCAATTAATTCCATAATGTTGTATATTGATACTGAGGTTTTGTTGGGGCTTTTAACTGACCAGATCTTTACTCTGTTAGCCCTATCTTCAGACCAGAGAAGGTCTCCCCAAGAGGCCACTGAACTTATCTGGACAATAAGACGCTGGACTTTATGCTAGGTATGTGTTTGCAAGGAACGAATCTCAACTGAACTTGAACTGTGGTTATGCAACAAGGTGGAGGAATCCACCATGGGGGGAGGGGTATGGGAGGGGTGGGGGCAATCCCCAGTGCCTATAAAACTGTACCACATAATACAATGTAAACAACAATAAAAAAAAATTGTATCCTGCCACTCTGCCAAAGTCTCTTATGAGTTCCAATATTCTCTTGACTGAGTCTTTTGGCTCCCCTATGTAGAGAATCATGTCATCTGCGAATAGTGATAATTTCAATTCTTCATTTCCAATTTCTATTCCTTTAATTGCTTTGTCTTGCCTAATAGCTCTTGCTAGGACTTCCAAAACTATATTGAAGAGTAGCGGTGACAGTGGACATCCCTGTCTAGTTCCAGAATTTAGTGGAAAGGCTTCCAATCTTTCCCCATTTAGTATGATGCTGGCATTGGGTTTTTCGTAAATTGCTTTGATTGTGTTGTAGAATGTTCCTTCTATGCCTATCTTGTTTAGGGTTTTTAACATGAAGTGGTGTTGGATTTTATCAAATGCCTTCTCTGAATCTATTGAGAAGATCATATGGTTTTTATTTTTCAATTTATTGATGTGGTGTATCACATTTATTGTTTTGCGAATGTTGAACCATCCCTGCATGCCTGGGATGAATCCCACCTGGTCCGGGTGAATGATCTGCCTGATGTGTTGTTGGATCCTATTGGCTAGTATTTTATTGAGGATCTTTGCATCTATGTTCATCAAGGATATTGGTCTGTAGTTCTCTTTTTCTGTTGTTTCTCTCTCTGGCTTTGGTATTAAGGTGATATTAGCTTCATAGAAAGAGCTTGGGAGGATTGCCTCTTTTTCTATTGCTTGAAAAAGCTTGTGTAAGATTGGGGTAAGTTCCTCTTGGAATGTTTGGTAGAATTCAGCTGTGAAGCCATCTGGTCCAGGACTTTTCTTGGTTGGGAGGGCTTTAATTACTGATTCAATCTCAGTGCATGTTATTGGGCTGTTTAGATTGTTAATTGCTTCTTGATTCGATTTTGCTGGATTGTATGTGTTCAAGAATCTATCCATCTCCTCTAGGTTTTCTGATTTGTTTGCATATAGTTGCTTGTAATAGGTCCTGATGATTCTTTGTATTTCTGAGGTATCTGTTGTTATATCTCCTTTCTCATCTCTGATACTATTGATGCATATTTTCTCCCTCCTTTTTTTTGATTAGTTGAGCTAGTGGAGAGTCTATTTTGTTGATTTTCTTAAAGAACCAGCTTTTTGATTGATTGATCTTATGTATAGTTCTCTTGGTCTCTATTTGGTTTATTTCCTCCCGTATTTTGACAATTTCTTTTTTCCTACTAATCTTAGGATTCCTTTGTTGTTGAGTTTCTAGTTCTTTCAGTTGTAAGGTTAGCTGATTTACTTGGTGCTTTTCTAGTTTCTTGACATAAGCACTGATTGAAATGAACTTTCCCCTCAGCACTGCCTTGATTGTGTCCCATAAGTTTTGATAAGTTGTGTCAATGCCTTCATTTGTTTCAAGCAATTTTTTAATTTCCCCTCTGATTTCCTCTCTAACCCATTGCTCATTTAGTAACATATTATTCAGTCTCCACATGTTTGTAATTCTTCCTTGGTGTTTTGACTGCTTGGTCTCAAGCTTCACTCCTTGGTGGTCTGAGAAGATGCATGGTATGATTTCAACTTTTTTAAATTTGCTGAGGCTAGTTTTATGGCCTATAACATGATCAATTCTGGAGAAAGTTCCATGCAGTGATGAATAAAAAGTGTATTCTCTGTAGGATGAAAGGTTCGATAGATGTCAACTAAATCCATTTGCTCTAGAGTTTGGGTGAGTTCTATTGTTTCTTTGCTGAGTTTCTGACTTTTTGATCTGTCCATTTGTGTTAATGGGGTATTCAGGTCTCCCACTATGATCGTATTGGAGTTTATTTCTCCCTTTAAGTCCATTAATATTTGTTTCATGTAGCTAGATGCTTTGGCATTTGGAGCATAAACATTTAGTATGCTGATCTCTTCTTGCTGAAGGCATCCTTTGATCATTATGTGGTATCCTTCTTCATCTCTTTTGACACTCTTTACATCAAAGTCTATGTCATCTGATATAAGAATGGCTACACCTGCTCGTCTTTCCTTACCATTTGCTTGGAATATCTTTTTCCATCCTTTCACTTTCAATTTTTTCTGATCTTTGTTGGTGAGATGTGTCTCCTGTAAGCAGCAGATAGTAGGGTTTTGTTTTTTGATCCAGTCCTCCAATCTATGGTGTTTGACTGATGAGTTTAAGCCGTTTACATTCAGAGTTATTATGGATAAGGGGTAGTTTGGTCCTGTCATTATGGCGATGTGTTGTTCTATAATTGAGTCTTTTGTTAGCCTTTTAGTGGGATGTTCTCCACATTTGCCTTTGTTTCTGGTGGTTGCTATTTCTTTTTTCTTTCATGGGAACATCCTTGAATATCATTTGTAAGGCAGGTTTAGATGAGGCAAAATCTTGAAGTTTTTCTTTACTGTGGAAGAATTTTATTTCATTTTCAAAGACAAAGGAGAGCTTTGCAGGGTAAGTTATTCTGGGCTGAAAATTTTTCTCTTTTAGAATCTGGAATACGTCACTCCATTCTCTTCTGGCCTGTAGTGTTTCCTCTGAAAGGTCAGCTGTGAGTTTGATTGGAGCTCCCCTATAGGACACTTGATTTTTTTCCCGTGCACATTTAAGGATTTTTTCTTTTTGTTCAACTGAAGAGAACTTGATTATCATGTGTCGTGGTGAAGTTCGGTTTTGGTCAACTCTGTTTGGAGCTCTGTATCCCTCCTGTATATAATTTTCCAATTCTTTGCTCAGATTAGGGAAGTTTTCCCTTATTATTTCACTGAATACACCTCTAATGCCAACTTCTCTTTCTGCACCCTCTGGAACTCCCATAACTCTTATGTTGGACCTTTTAATCATATCTTTTAATTCTTGGATACTTTTTTTAGCTTGACCTAGCTCTGCTTCCAGCTTTTTGCTTGTTGCTTCATGGTGACAGGAAATATCTTCTAATTCTGATATTCTTTCTTCTGCTTCATTCATTCTGTTGTTGAGACTCTCCACTGTATTTTTAATTTGCTCTACTGTGTTCTTAATTTCTGATATATCAGCCTTAATTTGATGTATTACTGCTATTTCTTCTTTGAACTCTTGTTTGCCTAAAGACTCTCCAGAGCCGGGGCGACGTCTTGGGTGGTGAAGAAGACAGTGCAGAGTTGAAGGAAAGGCCCAGAGTGGGCTCATTCTGGACCCTACAGACTCCATCAAAATAACTCCAGGTGGCACTCAGACTTAACAGCCAGCACGTGTTGACAAGATCAGTGCTGCTGAAAAATCAGTTATTTAGAACAGCTGGCATTTTCCTAATCCAGGACACTGAATGAACATAAACATTGACTTGTAGACCCATAGGTAATACATCTTAGAACCATGCACTAAAGAAGAGAATCCATCAACCAGAATTGCAATGACAAAAGTAAAAGAAGAGACAGGGGCACTATGGACATTACCAAAGAATCTCCAGCAAAGGAGCAAAAGCCTTTGCCAACCTCTGAGTGAACTAAGGAATACATCGGGAAAATGGGGGACACGGAATCCAGAAAACTCAGCATAAAGCTTCAGAACAGCAATGAGAAACACATAATACAGGAGTCCAATGAATTTAAGGAATATATCACACAGGAAATGAATCAAATGAAAGCTGATATATCAGACATTAAGAATACAGTGGAGCAAATTAGAAGTATAGTGGAGTGTCCAAAATAGAATGAATGAAACAGAAGAAAGAATCTCAGAATTGGAAGACATTTCCTATTGCCAAGGGGAAACAATTAAAAAGCTGGAAGTAGAGCTGGGTCAAGCAAGAAAAAGTATTCAATAATTCGAAGACACTTCGTTTTGAAATAGCACAGAGAGAAGAAAATGTAGATATTTCACAGGGTCTCTACTTAGTCAATATTTAGAGTATCTCTGAAATATAATACTCTCGTGAAAATAAGATTACTAATGAGGTACACTGCCAGAGAACCTTGTGAAGTTGAGTAAAGTAACTGATGCAGATATTTCTGTAACAGTATGAATAGAAACAGGAAAGAGCCACTTGGTTTAAAAAGATCATGATAACAGTCTGTCCACATCAGTAGGACACACTGACATGGATTTTGTTTAATCATCTTTGTGTTTTCTTCTACAGCTAAATGGCAGGTGATCGGGCCACAGAATTCCATCAAGGCTTTCGTGGGAGAGGATGTGGTGTTCTCATGCTCACTCTCTCCTAAGACAAATGCAGAGGCCATGGAAGTGCGGTTCTTCAGGAATCGGTTCTCTGCCATAGTCCACCTCTACAAGGCAGGGAAAGATCAAGAAAATATGCAGATGCCAGAATATCAGGAAAGAACTGAGTTGCTGAAGGATGGCATTGTTGATGGAATAGTGTCCCTGAAGCTAAAGGAAGTCACTCCCTCAGATGCTGGCATGTACGGATGCTATTTTAACTCCAGAACACATTCAGAAGAGGCCACTTGGCAGCTGGAGGTGTCAGGTCAGTTGCTAATTTCTAAGAACTTATGAAATTGTTGTCCCTGAGCTTTATAAACGATTTGCTGAAAATGGAGGGTTTTTAAAACATAGATATTAGAATAAATGACCAGTTTTTATATCCTATGACTACTGTGCTATGCCATTTTATCATATATATAGATTAACATGTACAACATGCTGACATGTACAACAGGCACCACATGTAAACAACCATTACAACCATTACCAAACATCTCACTGTTTTCATTCATGTCCATTCCTCGTCCAGTCTCACTACCATGCCTAAACCCTGGGAATCATTTGCTTTCCGGAATTTTGCTAATTAAAGAAAGATTTATAAGTATGTGACATCAAACAGCAGGTGACCTGTTGAAGTTATCTCTGATTCAGCAAAACTTCTCCTAAGTTCTACTCAAACTGTTGCGTATTATCATTAGTTCATTCTTTTTTTTATTGCTGAATATAATGATGTGCAATATTCTTTATTATAGAAAGTGTTTATGTCTCAGATCAATTCCCAAGATTTTGATTTCTGGAATTTTTATGTGAATGTTTATTTTTTAAAATATTATTTTGGGGGATGTTACAACAGGGCACCATAGACTGTATATCTACAAAACAGGATAAATTTATTCCTCACATTTCTGGAAACTAAAAGCTCATGTAGAGATTACTGTCTGAACCTGAGATTGCCAAGATTCTGAAAAGGGCCTTCACATGGACAGTAGCGTGAAAACATCTTGTTTCAACTTTTTATGGCACAAAGAAAATGAGAAAACTCCCTGACACTCCTTGTATGAAAGCACTACTCCCATGTATGAGGGATTTAACCAAATGTCCTGCCTGTTTAAGGACAGGCAGGACTCCAAGGAAAGTTTCTAGAGAGAGGGATGTATGAATCAGTATGTTGTTTTTAGCTTGATTATTTGACAAGATTTGGACTTTTAGAAAAACTGAAAATATGTAATTCTCCCACACCCTTGCTATTGTTGGATATTAAGTGTATGTCCCTAAGGTTCATGTGTTGGAAGTGTTGAGTAGTCCTTCAGCTACAGACTTAAGTTCATCATTCTGTTATTTAAGTGTGACATGAACTTGTGGGTATAGATAATGGTAGAAAGTCCAGCATGTTATTGTCAAGATATATTTAGTTGCTTTATTGGGAGTCCTCCTTTCATTCTGGATCAGAGATTCATATTGCTATGTGTCTTCACTTCTCCATATGCTAGTTTTATCATATAGTTACTCTAGATAAATATATGCAAATTCAAGTTTACTTGGATGTCTGATTTATCCTGCCTTTTACATGAATGTTGTGTTATTTCAGTAAGAACTAATGTATTTTTCAGAATGCATAATCATCTCTAGCTGAGACCATTTTGTTGCAAATCTTAGAGTTTCTTTCTTTTTAAGGGCTGCATAGTATTTTACTGATTAGATATATCAGAACTGTTTTATCCACTTCTCTTTCAAAGGGCATATTCATTGTTCCCATGTCCTTACAACAGCATGTTGTGCTGCTGTAAGCATAGGATTGCAGGTTACTTTCTCATATGCAGATTTCACTGTATTTGGATTTACTTCCTGGAGTGGGATAGCTGGTTCACAGGGCAGATCAATTTTCATTTTTGAGCACTTCCATATTGCCTTCCACATTGGCTGCAATAGCCTGCACTCCCACCAATAGTGGAGCAGGCTACCTTTTCCCCATATCCTTTCTTCCCACATTCATGCCAGCAGGTGTAGATTTCCAAATATGTGCCAGTCTCGTGGGGTAGGTGGACTACAGTATGGTTTTTGTTTCTATTTGCTTAATAGTTAGGGGTCCTGAGTCTTCCTTCACATGTCTATTAACCATTTGAATTTGTTGTTTTAAAAATTTAATTTCGTGGCATTGTAAATTTCCATTTTTTTTTTCTGTTGTTGATTTTGTATTGTGACTTTCCATTGAAGGGGATGTACAGTAACTACATAATGGAGACTATCATCTCCAGATATGAGAATAAAATGCAGTGTGCATCTCTACTTCCACACCAAAGATGGACTCCGAAAAATGCTGTTTACTGTATCTTGACAATAGGACGGTGGACTCTCTGCAATTGTCCATGCCCACAATGATGGACATATGACTGTTTATGAAGAACTACACTATAATAATCATATAGGTGAACTCAGTGGTGGATCAGGAGATTGTTGAAGGGGCAAAGGAAATCTCAGGGCCTATGGAACTGTATCATAAAATGATAATAATAATAAGTAAATTGTTTAAAAAGCAGCTCTATTATTCATTGAACTTATGTATTATTCCTTGGTCTCTAGTTCCTTTTTCCTAATGTTTTTCTGGCTCCTTCAAATGTATGGTTAGCCACTTAATTAGTGCGATTTTCTAATTTTTGACATTAGTACTAGTTAAATTGAACTTTCCTCTTAATATTGCTTTGATTATGTCCCACATATTTTGATATGTTGTGTTGATGCCTTCATTCATTCAAGCAAATGTTGTGTTGATGCCTTCATTCATTCAAGCATTTTAAGAGATCCTATTTGATTGGAATTCACAAGTTATTTCCAGATATTTGTGGCAGAGTTTTAGGTCAAAAATTACTTAGCAGTGGGTATTTTGATTGGCAGTAAAAATGCTACCTACCCATACCACAGAATCTTCGTTGAGTATCTTATTTAATATCTGATTTCGGTTTCCCACTAATGCAAGGAAGATATAATCACTGGGAAGCAGTGATGATGTATCAATATCTGAGCTCTCTCTACATTCATGTAGACAGAGGTAATACGACAGGTAAAGGAACATCATTCAGTGAATCATGTTCCAAAAAATGATGTAGAAACTATGCCTTTTTTGTATATAAAATAAAATGCATGTTTAGACACGAACTTTTAGCTTGTCAAACAATTACAGGAGAAAAAGTTCTTTTATTAAACATGGTACAGGATCCCATACATTAAAATCAAGTTAGTTCAGTGCTTAGCAATGAAATCTTTCACTAAAGAAGTCTGTGCAACTGTTTTTCAGAAAGGCCTTCCCAGAACAATTCCTGGTATGCTGCTCTTGCTGCTGCTATTGCTGCACTGCTGGTTCTTTGCATCATTGTTGGATCTTGCCTTTGGAAGAAAAATCTTTTCCCCAAATGCTGCAGTAAGTGAGAAAAAAATGAAGCTGAGATAGCAGCTGATTTGTGGTCCAGTATGGCCAGCACTGGGACTCTTGAAGCTTCTGCAATTGTCCTCATAGCCATGGGTTCTCATTGCCTTGCTTTGGGAGTCATAGTCCCCTTCCTCCTCTATTTTTACCTAAACGACTCCTTCAGGAAACACCCACTCAGTAGACACTGTATATAGAAGAAATTACTGAAAGTTACATCAGTGTTTGACTTTTAAAAAGTTTCGTTATTCCTAGAAAGAATTATACAAGAAGAAATAATAGTGAAGGTAATATATAATATTCAGTCTAGAAAAAGTTTTCACTCCCAAGAATCCATTTTTCCCCATTGACGATAATACTTTCATTTCAGAATGCATGCTATAATCCCCATCCTCCAGCCCAGTCACCTTCTCTTTGATAACCCCCATTTTCACCTCCAAAACGTTGAGGAATTCTATCCCCATTTCCAGGACAAGACTTCAGATAAGGGCTTAGTACAAGAGAGTTCTAGAGGAGGCTCCATCCTTTATATTCCCACCAGGGTAAAGAAACAGGTTTGTGGTAACACTTCTTACATTCTCATTTTAACCACTTAAAACTCTTTCTGTTTCAGAGACAAGACCAGGACGTAGGTAAGTATCTGTGACATTTGCAGCCTTCCACCAATAGTTCTGCTAAACTCCTTCCAGAGTTTGAGTTTCCTTCCTTTATTTAACAGAAAGATTGGGAAAACAGCAAGAACAGCTGCTGTGTTCTCTCTTTTTTCTAATAAGATCCTGACCCCTATGTATATAAGAGCTTTAAGGTGGGAACTCAGGTCTGAAAACATCTTCAAGTGATTTATTTTGACTTATTGCCACATTTTGCAGGCACAGGAACAGTAGATTATTAAATCTTCTGAGGGAATTTTGCCCAAGAATGATTAAGGAGCTGTAGAAGGTCATCTCCAGCTAGCCTTGATCTTCTTATTTGAACTCTGATCCAAGCTTACCTTAGCCACTGAATATCTTTTTTTTTTTTTTTCATTGCAACTTCAGGAAAAGCTGGATAAGAACGGTATAACCCAGAGAACTTTCCTGTCACACTTCACATCCACATAGTTCTGCGATTTTGATCCTCTAATGATTTTGATGTCAGAGCACAGAAAGGGGCAGAGAAAGGCAGCTGAAGTTATTTCCTTTATGTCCCCAACTTTATGGAATCTTAGTGAACAAGAACCATGAATTCCTGTATATCAACCTTGAGATAGGCTTCTGTACTGTGGAGATTTGTAATCTTCTGGCTGATACTGGCTGAGGCACATTTCCTTTTTTTTTTTTTTTAACCAGTATATGATCACAGCATGTAAGACACAGTTCATAGAAAAACCAGACAAGTCCTCCCCAGATTTATGACGGAACCCTGATCTTAAAAGAACCTCCTGCTTTAAGTCTCTTCCCTTTCTCTGCCTCCTGCTGCCCATGTGAGTACTGGCACTTGGTGATTGTGATTGCTTTCAGCATAGAAAGAGGCCCAGGACTGTACAAGTAATAATAGCTGAAAGGATGACAATGAGACACAGTCTTGGGTGAGCATGGGAGAGGGAAAAGATTACTGGGGATCTGAGTGCAGAGTCACACAAACTCCAAATGATAGTTTTGTGATCCCCTGCAGTGCACAGCTCACCACAAACACACTACTCAGCCCCTACCTAGAAACTGAGAGTGTCAGCCTGAGGAAGCATCACAGGGAAATGCATAGGAAACTGAAGGAACTAGTTATAAGAGGACAGAAATTAATGAAGTTGGGTAAAAACTGACATATGGGAGAAAGTTAGGCAGCAAGGTTATCCAAACTCTCACTAAGTAAAATAAAGAATTTACATGGAGGGAAAATGGTAGGGTTGGGAAGACACAGCGATTTTTTTATTTCACAGCTGGGCTTCTCCAGGTGTTACTGAGTATTTGGTCTGTATTGAAGATAAGGAAATGTGGCATTCAAATGAGACTGTATCCTGGGCCTCACCTCATCCCAGTCTGAGTCAGCATGCTGTGGAAGATAACAATGTCTAAGCACAGTTTAAGCACTAATTTTGTGTAGTAATTCATGCTCTTTCTCTTTCCTTTTGATTTGATCAGTGAACAGGCTCAAGGTGCATATCAGCAAGCTCTCCATGTCTCTCCTGAAAGCGATAACCTTCAAGAATACTCACCAAAGTGAGTCATGGCAGTCAAGGGCAAGTGGTGCTGGGTTTGTGAGTCCCAGGAATGGGGAATCCCGCAGGGTTCGGATGGCTGTCTCAGGTCATTAGACCTGCCAGTGAAGGGGGTACCGGGTTAGTGAGCCCCAGAAGTGGGGGATTCAGCATGGCTCAGGACCTTGAACTCACCAGTGATGGGGGGAGGGTTTCATGAGCCCTGGGAGTAGGGGATCTGCTGGGGCTCAGGTCACCTGGATCAGGTCCTTGGGCTCACACAGGTGAAGTGTTGCTGGTTTGGTGAGCCCCAGGAGTACTTGGGCTCACCTGCAAGTAAAAAAGGTGGAGCAGTGGATACAGACCCTGATGCACATGGAGGATATGGCAGCCCATGGGTACCGTAGCAGAGGAAGGAGAATGGATCAAATTGAACAACTACCCTTGCCAAACGATGACAGCAAAAGTGTGGGTGAAAGGAGACTTGAGGTCAACTATGTCAGCCAGTGGACATTAGGAGGGCTGTCTCACCCTTCGACTGACAATGTCTACAACATTTCAGAACTATCCAGATCACTTGATCAGAACCCTCAGAACATGCACTACGTCTGGACCCTGGGTTGATGTCGGGTGGCGGTTCCCAATCATGGGTACTGGGACACTTGGAAGACTATATGTGGCTTCCCACTTTACCTCTCCCCTTGACCCAGACACAAGAAGAAGCAGAAAATTTGGAAACAATGATTTCACCGACTTTTCCCTAGCCCTCAATCAACCGTGTAATCATCACACACACACACACACACACACACACACACACACACACAAACTCACCAGGAGATGTGTGGTGACTGTGGAAGGATTCCAGACAGAGATATTACTGGGAAGTGTATGTGGGACACAGGAAGTGTGGTACTTGGGAGTGTGCTGGGGTCATGTAGACTGGAAAGCAAGGAAAGTTACTTTTGCTCCAGACAAAAGGTACTAGATCCTTGGACTAAAGAAAGAACAATCATATATTTTAAAGATTTATTTATTGATTGATTTTTATTTGAAAGGTAGACTTACAGAGAACAGGAGTGAGAATCTTCCATCTATGGTCTCACTGCAATAGCTAGAGCTAAGCTGAGCTGCATCCAGGAGCTAAGAGATTCTTCCAAGTCTCCCACATGGCACAGAGTCCAAAGGACCTGGGCCATCCTTCGTTGCTTTCCTAAGCCATAAGAAGAGAATTGGATTGGAAGAGTAGATGAGACATGAACTGGCAGTGGATGCCAGTGCTCATAGGCAGAGAAATAGCCAATAGAGCCGCCATACCAGCCCTGACATCCAAATTTTATATGCAACCCTCATACAACTGTCTTCTCTCCAAAGGACCCCCTTACGTGAACAGGGGTCTTGCTGAAGCACTATATTGGAATTATTTCCTTCTTTGATGTAAATGCTAAGTTCTTCATGTATACCATGACATGTTAATTTAAAGATTTGTTGAGATACTGCATCCAGCATATGTTTGTGATGTACAAAATTTGATTCCTATTGTGTTCACATGAAAGACTCTAAAAGTCATTTTTGGGGAAAAGAAAATTCCCTATTAGGAATATTTTATAGTTAGCATGAGCATGGCCGTGATTAGGACTAGGAATCAAATAGGCCATGGAGAATCGTGAACAAGTGTGAGGCTTCCTCCTATCTTCTCAAGATTAAACACTTTCTTCACATTGTTTACCAGGGCAACCACACCCGGCGCCTACAGACCAGCCCACTCTGAAGTGACCTCTGTCTGATAAAGGACACAAGCCATATGGAAGATCAACTTCTTCACCTGCTTGCCATGAACACTTTCACAGGTGATTGAATGCTAATCTGTGAATAAAAGGAGGAGCAACCACCTACAACTCAACTGCCTGGCACCAATAGGATAAACCACAGACTGATAGTTATGTTACTGTCTCTCCATGATCTTTTCTTTTTTTAATTTTTATTTTTCATGATACAATTCCCTAAGCTCAGGGATTTGCCCCTCTACCCTCTCCATCTCCCCTCTGCTGCACTGCTTTTCTCTACATTATAACAGTAGTATAGTCCTTCAACAACAGTTACAACTCCATCATTTTTCCATTTACGTGTGGATAGAGACACAGCTTTGTAATGATGTATTGCACTAAACCTATTAAAACCAGCATCTTGGAGCAGCTCACTGACTCACTCACTCGCCTGAGTGACAACCACTTCATTGAAGCCTGCAGAGGATGTCTGTTACCATAGAGGGAGAACAAGTTGAACAACCCTCCCGGCCATCTTTGACAGCAAGTATCTGCGTGAGCAGAGACTAAGTTGGACTATGTCAAATAATGGACCCTGGAAGGATTTCCTCAACCTTGGAGCAAAAATCAACAACATCTCAGAACCATCGAAACCATTTCAACAGCATCCTTGGAACATTCTTCACATCGGAGATCCTGAGATGACATCCAGTGGCCATCACCCATCCCTGGTTCCTGACGAGGTCAGGTGGCTGGGAACAGTCCTCTCTCCTCTCTCCACTTTCCCCAGACACAGGAAGAAAATGAAAAGGAAGTCATTATCTCACTGCCTTCCTCCTATGCCTCTGCCCTCCACACCCTAATCAGTGGTCCACATGGTTACATATCTTTCTCAGCTATGTAAACATCATCAAAAATAAAATAAATGCATCAAAAATTACAAAACAGAGAATCATCTAAGCCAGTTTCTAAATACACTGCATATACTCTTTTTTTTAAAAGAGTGTTCAATGATCCTATTATCATTCAGGAACATGCTTAATTCCCATGTATTATTAATTGCCTATTGTTACTCTTGTTATTGATTTTCAGTTTTACTATTTTGTCATCTGAGAAGATGCATAGTATGGTTTCAACTTTGAGAATGCACTGACACTTCATTTATGGCCTAATATATGGTCTGTTATGAAGAAAAAGTTCCATTCCTCTGTGAATGAAAAGAATATGTTTTGTAACTTTTGGAGAAAAATAATTCTGTAAATGTTTATTAGGCCTATATCTTTATAGTATGGTTTAACTATGCTGTCTTCATTGATTTTCTCTTTGGATTATTGTCCACTGATGACACTAAATGTTGAAATGTCCTTCTCTCTTAATGTTTTGAATCTATTTCTCCCTCCAGATCAAGTAACACGATATACATTTTGAGAACCAAATGTTAGGTTCATATACAAAATGCATAATTGTTATATTTTGCTGACTTGATCCTCTTCTCTTTATCTCTATATTTTTAAATCAATGTTTTTTTATCCTATCGTTAAATGATGCAGCTAGTTCTGTTAGTTTTGGTTCCCATCTACATGGAATATCCTTTTCTACTGCTTCACTTTAAGTCTGTTTAACTTGAACTGTGATGTGAATTTGTTGTAGGCAGCATTTATCTGGAGTTATTTATTAAAATAAATAAATATTTTTTAAAAGAAAAAAATAAAAGATACTTAAGTATGTAAGTGAGAAATGTTACATACCTTTTAGAGGCGCATTAATTGACTCACATCTGACTTCTCAGAGGAAAACATACTGCCAACGAGAGGAAACAGGGTGACAGATTCCAGGTCCTAGAAAAAAACAATTGTCAGCCCAAAATGGCATATCCAGCAAAGTTCTCATTTGTATTTTAAAATGAAATAAAACAAAAACTTTGAAACCAAACAAAAACTGAGACTTCATCTCCACCAGACCAGCCTTATAAATGCTGCTTCAGATGTGTTACAGACCGAAAACAAGAATAACCTCCATCATATCCAAAGTCAAAAAATAGAGAGTGTCTCAGCACAGAGAATAAAAGAAACCTAAATCAATGAGAAACCCAAGCTAAACTGACAGCATCAAATCGTTGCCAACCGATCTTAACCCCAAGTGTGAATGGCCTAACCTCATCGTTCGAATCACATGTATTAGCAGAGTATATAAAAAACAGTGCCCATCTAGTAACCTGTTGGCTACAGGAGAAACTGAAAGGATAGACAAGGATATTCCTACAGAACAGATATCCTTCCACTCTTTCCTGCCTTTAGCTATTCATGCAAGTCCTGGAACTTTTCCCTAGAACTCAGTCCTTTCTGGCCATTGCTGGAGTGTCCTGCACATGTTTGACCAACCTGCGCCATAACTCTGACCTGGCCCCTAGGGAGGACATCGGTTTAGATGCTGCTAGGTGACAGAAGGCTTGGTTCCTTACACATTTCCAAAATTGCACCAGGGCCTATGGCAATACCAGATAAGGTGGCATGTGATTAGTTTATTTTTATCCACAAACACACTATAGGGATCTCAGTAAGAAGACTTCACTGCATGTAAACAGGCCTTGCAGATTTCACTCAAGGAAATGCAGGTTATCTTTGTTGCTGCTCTTGTCCTATGGAGAAGGGTATGATGGGTTAAGGATGGTATAAATCCCTTCCTAGCCCTTAGTGGAAACTGAAACCCAGTTTCTATCATTTTTGCTGAAACAAGAGGAACCAGCTAGATGTGGTCAGCTTGCTCACATAGATTTCATGCTCAGCCGACTCTGAGATCTTAGCAGCCATGGAGTATCCTCCCTGCTCCACGTCTCTGCAGTTTGCAGGCTGTACAATGTTCTAATACCTTTCCCCTCCTTCTAAGACACAGGAGAGATTTTTTCCATGGAAATTCAATTCATAATTTCCCTCACAGAGACAGGATGTGACGGGAACTTCCTTGTTTTGTTCTGTCCATCTTGGTTATGACAGCAATCGGCAGAGCATGCATCTTATGAGAAGAGAATTAGACAGATAATTTTGTCGCAGGCAAGTTGGCCCCTGGATTCACCTGCAAACCGAAGCCCTTTGCACCTGGGAACAAAACACTTTACAACAAGTATCACTCTGCAGAGGAGGTGAGCTCTCTAGGATTCACCCAAAAATCTGAACTCATTGTTGCTACCTGCCTAGGTAAGTGGCTCATTCTCAATTCCTGTCTAAGCCTGCAACTTTCAGAAACAGAAAGCATAATTATTTTGAGAGCCTTTGGGGAAAGCATACTATGATGGCAGTATTTTATCAGCTGAGCATGGCTGTAGAATTTAGAGCTTCCAATATGTCAGGGGAAGATGCTTCATCAGATGGACTTCCGACTTATTCCATTTCCCCTAAAAAAAAAAATCTTGGAGTGGTCCATTTTCCTTAGAATTCAGGGGTTGAAATTCTCACATATGAATTAAACCAGATCTGGATGGTGAGCAGGTGTAACATTGCAGTGATGCTAGACGGAGTGAGTCTGAAGAAGGACAAAAGTCCTGCCTAACACTTGGGACTCACACATTAGGATCTGAGAAATGAGGTAAGAACAAAATGTACATCATGCACTTATGAAAGTGAAATATGATCATGTTCAAAGACTGATTCAAGGACTGAGGGCTAGAAAATCGAAGGAAATCAAACCTTGTTCAAGAACTGGAAATGCAAAAGGAGATAACAGGGGTTTTGGAACAGGAGAAAGACAAAAGAGAATGGGAGAAAAACAAAATAAGGAGGAGGAGTGTGCTTCCATTAGCAGAGATCCTGGAATTTTCCCAGCATCCCCTGGATAGCAGGAAGAATACACTCTTCTAACAGGCTTAATGTTGTCCTAAGATAACTTCCTAGGGGCCCGGACATTGCCCTAGCAGCTAAAGTCCTCGTCTTGAAAGCCCTGTGATTCCATTTGGGTGCTGGTTCTAGTCCAGGCCAACCTGCTTCCCATCCAGCTCCCTGCCTGTGTCCTGGGAAGGCAGTCAAGGACAGCACAAAGTCTTGGGATCCTGCACATGTGTGGGAGACCTGTAGGAAGTTCCTAGCTCCTGGATTCGGATTGGCACAGCACCTGCCGTTGCTGTTACTTGAGGGAATGAATCATCAGACAGAAGATCTTCCTCTCTCTCTCTCTCTCTCTCTCTCTCTCTCTCTCTCTTTCTGTCTCTCTCTCTGTATATATATACACATATATATGACTTTTCAATAAAAATGAATAAATCTTTTTTAAAAAGATAACATTCTCTGCTCTCCATCTTCCCCAAATTCCTAATATATCAGCCTTTCATACCCTCCCACTTCTCCCCAAAAGACCCTCTCACTAGAAATTTAGTTCAACTGTGGCATGACGAGCTAAAATTTATGTTTTCTCTGTAAAGACTATTTGCACCTGCACAAGAAATAGAGCCCCTAAACTGAGCACTGAGGTCAGAAAAGGTGGGATTCTAGCAATAAATGGGGATCAGGTTATTCAGGACATGAAAAGGTGTTTGATCCTCTGAAGTCACTAATTTCACCGTCAGAATATTGCTCAACCTGATATTGCAGATATGGACAATGGCAGAGAGTCCAGCATCCCATTGTCAATATATATTGAGCAGTTTCCCTGGGAGTCCAAGCATTTGATTTGGAAGTAGAGATGCATACTGCATGTGTCCTCACATCTCAATATGATAGTCTCTATTATACAGTTCCTTTAAATGCAAGACAGTATGTCTGATCAAGCTGACCAAATTTTATTTTTCACACACAGGCATATATACTCTGCAAAACAGGATCTATGGGTGAGGAGAAAGAGAAAGCAAGATCTGGGATATGGTTTCACAGTTCTTTCTAGGCAGCTATTTCTAAAACCCTCTTATGGTCACTAGAGGATACTGTCATGTAGGGCATAAACCAACAACCTGTTATGAGCACCAAGGGTGGTGAGAGCTGGATGGATTGCTAGATGACTTGCAAACCGCAGAGTGTTGTAGGACTTGGTTTCTCCACTGATCTAGATCTATATTCAAAATGGCTTCAGTATGGCTACAGTATATGGCTCCCAACACTCAGCCCTAGTTACTAACGCAGTTGGGCTTCTGGCAAAGGGCCTCTCTCCTTCTTCCCCCTACTTGCCCAGATAAAAGAAGAAAAAGAGATTGTAAATAGTTGTCTCACAAACTTTCCCCCATTCCTTGACCTTTCCCACCCTAATTGATGGTTACAGAGCGTGCATCCTTCTCAGTCACGTAAACATTATCAAAAATAAAATAAAATTATTATTAAAAAGCATAATATTGGTTTGGTGCAGTGGCTCTGTTGGCTAATCCTCTGCCTTGTAAGCATAGGGATTCCATATGGGCACCTTTGTGTCCTAGCTGCTTCACTCTCCATTCAGCTTTTCCTTGTGGACTGAGAAGGCACTGTAGGATGGCCTAAAGCCATGGGAGACCTGGAAGAGGTTCCTGGCTTCAGATCGGTCATCTCAGCTCCAGCCATTGTGGGTCACTTAGGAAGTGAACCAGTAGGTAGAGGATATTTCTGTTTTTCATTCTCATCTGCTTTCTCAATAAAGATAGAGTAAAGCTTCAAAAAAAAAAAAAAGAATGATTAAAATCTGTTGTCTCTCTAGTGATTCCACAATTCTGGGGCACAAAGCACCAACTTTCTCCTCTGCTTCCTGAATTTAGACTCAAGAAGGGCAGAGCAACCACTATCAGACCATTACTTTTCACTTTCCCTTGCACTTTCACTTTCCTTTCCCTTCATGCCCATACGTTCAAGTCCTTTCTAGCTCTGGATCAATCAAGATCCCCTACTTCTGCAAAACTCAGCAGCTTGTAATGTCTTTCATCTGCCCTCGTGCTGGTGTTGCTGACCCTATGGTTGGGTTCAGCAGCCATACCTCACCAGGAACACATGCCCTGACAAGAACCCCAGGAGAAAAATAAAGGACTTCCGGATACAGTGAGAAGAGGGAGGAGAGGAGAGAAGTAAGGGTAGTGGGGGTAAAAGGCCATGGTGGACTTATCATCTAGAGCTCTATAAGAAGTGAAATAAGGGAGAAGTCGTTTCTGAAGGAAGAGTGATATTTGGAAGCTGGGCGGAGGAAGAAGGTGCTAATTTCTATTTAAGGAGAATCCAAAAATTCCATTGGGGGAGAAGAAAGTTTAGCAACCCTCAGGTGACATGTATTTCTCTATTGTCCAAGTAAAGAGAATAAAGCTCAGTTAACAAAATTCATCTAAAATGCCACAACTAGATGGAAAGGCTCACCTGAATTCAAAGATATATTGGTCACACCACACTTAATGGCCATGAGATTGTGAGATGTTTTTCAGGGCTCAAGGGACCTTAGGAATAAGATGGGATGGCCCTTGTCTAGATTCGGGCTAGTGCCCTTGAAAGGTAGATGTATAATATGGTACCATCACTGGAGCTTCAAAGATGCTGTAAACACAGAAATAGTGGCCGCCTGATGACTGGAGACATTTATGAGGTCTCAGCAACACCCGAAGCCTCAGGACTGCAGGGAAAGCTTCCCAGCGTGTCAGAATCACGAAGCTGGCTCAACTTTTGAAAAAACAGGGCTGTGTCCTTTCCTCTGTGTTTTGGACCTGATGTTCTAGGGCAAAGGCAACCAAGAGCAAGGTTGGGCAGATTGTGAAGCCAGAATACAAATACATATGTAATGCTTTAGAGATTTCTATTTGTTTGTGGAATGTCACCAAAATGAAGAGAAGGGTGGTGCTGAGACCCCATACAATGTATGACTCTGTTCCTGGCTCTAAACAATATGCAGTTCAGAAACTGCTTCCTCTTTTTTTTTTTTTCCACTCTCAGCAAGGCCAATGACATTAGCAATAGTGCCACAAAAATAGAAGCAGCAGTCATAGCCTGGCATAATTTGAAAGAAGCCAGGTATGAAGCTGTTCAGGAATTTGAGAGGCAGACAAAAAATATTGGAGACAAAAGCAGACCTTTGTACTACTGGGCCATGTTCCAGGTCCCCTGTGTCAGTTCAGCTTTACTTTGTCATTCTCCAGGTGGCTTCCTGTGAACGAGAGATGGCAGATTTCTCAGTCTCCCTGGACTTCTCACGGTTAGCACTTCTGTCCAGCAGTCTCTTCCTCGGCCTTCTTCTCCTCCTGCTCCAGCCTGGAAAGCTAAACTCAGGTAGTGTTGTCTGGTCTGCTGCCAGGATGTGAACAAGTAAGCTCTCCCCACCCCTTCTGAAAAATGCTCCCCAGGTCTGTGATGTCATAATAAATCTTGAAAGCTTTTGATATAAAAAGAGATTTCCTTCCTAATCAGAGTGCCTTCCTCTGGTCACCATCAATCTCTTTCGTGCACCCCCACGATTCCCCCGGTGCCCAGCAGCTCTGACACAATTTTTCTAAGGATCCCAAGGTCTACAGGAAGCAGAAAGGTTCCAAGAGTCTCTTACTGGCCTGTGTTTATATTAAATCAATACTGTATTTTGTGTTTAGGTTAAATGAATATTATATTTTCAACATCTGCAGAGTTTTTCAGAGGCAGGAAAAACCTCACTTCATCCCACTCTCTCTCATGAAATCAGCGGGTAAAAGAGGGTGTACATTAATCACATAGCAAAATTCTCTGGACTGGGAACTGAAGTATTAGGGTGACTAAGAATTTCCCAAATAGCTTATGGTCAAAGAAAGGGAGTTGGTTTAGAAAGAATTACTTTGATGTTTGTATCACATAAGCAATTGTAAAAACAAACAAATAAACAAAAAAACGATGTACAAAGATTTATGGGGAAGGGCTAGCATTGCAATATAGGTAAACTAGTTTTCAGCATCTTATACTGAAGCATGATTTCACCAGTTGCTCTGCTTATGATCCAGCTTCCCTCAAATTCTCATTCTAAAGCAGCGTATCATGGCCCAAGTGCCCAGGCCCTTGCCAACCATGTGAGAGACCCAGATGAGATGGAATTCTAGGCTCCTGGCCTCTGGGCCAAGCAGGCAGTTGTAGCCATCTGAGGAACCAGTGGGATGAAAAAGCCTTTCTTTGTCCCTTCTTCTCTCTACGTTACTTTGCCTTTCAAATAAAGATATCTCTTTTTTGTTTATATAGATAAAACAAATTTCATGTATTTCATATATACATATATAGAGACAGAGTTTTGAGATCATGATACTTCAAGCCTCACTCCCGGCCTCCTATTTTCCACTTACTTTTTAAAATGACAAACCTTCAATTTACTTAACAATTACAAGCTTAGCCTTCCACTAAATGAAGAATTCAATAAGCAGTAATCAGAAAAATCACTATCCCTCAAAAGTATGAACAAGGAATATAATCAACAACCAAATCTAAAATATGTTAGTTTCAGTCATATGTAGATTATATTTTTGTACTATCTATATTAGTTGCCATAAATCAGGGGGGCGGAATGAGATTTGTCTTTTTGGGACCAGCTCAGTAAATAAATCTCCGAATCCCAGTACCTACAACTATGTCACATAATACAATGTAATAAGTTAAAAAAAAAAAAAAGAAGAATTTGACAGTACATATAAGTATGGATAAGAGCTATTCTTTTGTCTCTAAAAAGTCAGAGTTGCCAGTGTTGGGCACAAGGAAAACAACCGATGGAGGATAGACTAAGGGAAAGCGTGCCCAGAGTGTGCCCAGAGAGTGAGCCAGATGGGTGTGACAGAGAGCTAGAGAGATTCCAGAGAAGGAAGGCAAGCAGAAGAGTGGAAACTCACCCCTGGTGGCAACCACGAATACAAACGACACAAAGAAACCTACCTTGGTGGCCTGTGGGAAACCTAAGGAGTGGGAAGGGACTCATGAAGGTTAAACTTTGGGAAAGGGATTTTATCTGAACTTGGAAGATAGCAAACTGACTAGTTTTGAGACTGAAGAGTGGTCAGCCGAGACAACACTGAAGAAAAAGGATGATCAAGCAAAAGATTAAGACGTAATTCTAGAAAATAGGATTGGTTTGGCCTTTTGCTATAAAACACCTTTGAAAAAGAGAGCCTCCATGGAGTATGCTCTGTTTTTATATAAAGGATACTTTGTTTTTATTTTGTGTTCCATATGTATTACTTTAAGAATTGAAAAATGAGGAGTGAGCACAATGGCTCAAATAGTTAATCATCCACCTTGCAGTGCAGCAACCTGTATGGATGCCAGTTCATGTCCAGGTGTTCCACTTCCCAGCTAGCTCCATGCTTGTGGCCTGGGAAAATAGTGGAGTACGGCTCAATGCCTTAGGATCTTGCACCCATGTGGGAGACTCGGAGGAGTCTCCTGGCTCCAGGCTTCAAATTAACCCCGTTGCAGTTATTGTGGCCATTTGGGGAGTGAAACAGTAGATGGAAGATTTCCCTTTCTAGGAATCTATCTTTCAAAAAAAAAAATGCTGAATATTTAAAGAAAAGAATTGCAAAGTCAGAAAGGTAAAGATAAAATATCAATTTCCATTATGCAGAAATTATCAAGTTTGTTATACCTCATTTCAGATCTTTTTCTCTGCACATTTATGCCCATATGTAATTTTTTACTAAAGATTATAGTGTGTATGGTGGTTTCAAATGTACCCTTTTTACCACTCTGATCACATTTACATAATTCCCCAAAATAATCTTTTGTCATGATTGATACAGACTAGTAACCAGTACTGCACTACATATTATATCTGGCTGCAATAGCCCTCACACATCTTTAAATATAGCCCCCTGGCTTTTTTACTTACAATTACTGGGCCAAGAAATAATGGCAGTTCTCCAAAAAGGTCACTTAAATGACTTACTTTTGATTTCTGATTGTAAAGTTTTATAACAAAAATTTACTTTTAGGAAAGAATGATTTGGGCCATTTTCTGGCTTCTCATTCTAGAGGAGGTGAAGGTATTAGGCCCAGAACCTTCCATTGTGGCCCATGTTGGGCAAGATGTGGAGTTCCAGTGCCACCTGTCACCGTACCTGGATGCAGAGGACATGGAAATCCGCTGGTTCCGCAGCCAGGCCTCAGAAGTAGTACACCTGTACCAGCACCGACAAGAGCTGAATCACCTGCAGATGACACAGTTCCAGAACAGGACCAAACTCCTGAAAGATGACATCACTGTTGGAAGTGTGTATCTGCAGCTCCACAACATCATGCCCTCAGACAATGGTACTTATGGGTGTCACTTCCTCTCCAGCAACTTCTCCAGCAAAGCTGTGTGGGAACTGGAAGTAGCAGGTGCGTGGCCAGTCAAGCAACAGGGGAGAGGAGAAGAGGGTTGGTTTAGATAGAGTTACTTTGTTCAGGAGTAGGGTAGAGACTAACAGAGGCTCACAGAGAATAAAAGAATAACTCTAGTTTTAGAACACATGCAATTTAAAACAAAGGAACAAGTCTGCAAGCAAATGAATGAAAAAGGCAGTGAACCAAAAATACATATTATCCTTAAACAAATGTAAAAATCATTTTTACTTGTAATAAAGTTAAAACATCTAGATGCAAATTTTACCTATCAGACTGGCAAAACTTCAAAAGTTTTACTACATGCGTTTGATACGGTTGTGGGGAAGCAGGTCTCCTATTTTGTTATTAGAGCTCAAAGATGTGAAGCACCAGGACAGAAGGATTTGGCAACAGCTAAGATGAATATTTGTGCATCTATCAGTGACATAATAACCACATTTCTAGGAACTTAGCCCAAAGATATTCACCTAACACTTACAATATGAAAGGCATTTGTGTAAGTTTAATCTTCATAGCATTATTTATAATTGCAAAATAGTGGAAGCCATGCAACTGTTCACATATGAGAGCTGAACATTTTTCATCCTTACATTAGTATTTAGAAACTAGAAAAAAATGAAAAGGAACTGTATGAATGAAGGTGGGAATAATTTGTAGAATGTGTTGTTAAGAAAAGAAAGGGTCAGGCATTTAAGATCTGGGATTCTGGCAACCCACATCAGAGTAACTGAGTTCAAATCTTGATTCTAATCCTGATTCCTGCTTATTGGCATTGTAGATCTTATGAGGTAGTAGTGATGGCTTAAGTACTTATGCCTTAGCCATTCACTTAGGACACTTCGTTTGAGTTCCCAACTGCTGGCTTTGTCCTGGCCCAGGTACTAGGGAGGTGGGCCAGTGAATGGTATATCTTTCTCTTTCTTACCTCGTCTAAATAAATAAATGTTTTTAAAAAGAGAAAAATGCAAAATACTTTTGTGTGTTAGAAATAACGAGAGACATTGGAAATGAAAAAAAAAAAGATAAAACAAAAACTAACAAAGGGTGGGGACATAATGGGTTGGAAGGAAACACAAAAGGCCAAGTGATTTTCTGATATACATTTAATAACAGCATTCCTGCTAAGGCCATATTCCTGTCTTACATATACAGGTTTATAAACCTAACACATAATTATAAGAAGACATTGAAACCCATACAAAATGCACTTTGGGCTTCAGTAAAAATCAGCGAGTAGAATCTATTGGGATTTGTAGTGATTCAATTCTAACCTCTAGGGGGATTGTTCCTTGCATATGCTTAAATGCCAACCGTTCTTCTCCATCAAACATTCTTCTTTATATTCCCTTGAGACAATATTATAACCACATTGAACTGATCATCTAGACTGTCATTTATGTATGTGGGAGCAGCGGCTGTGAGCTTCTCCCAGCTCGTAATTTCTCACAGTGACTGTGCATGGAAAAAGATGGCATACACTCCACACACAACCTGCAAGAAGGGGCTGATCTTTCTCAATCCTGTCTCTCACAGGGATAGGCTCTGATGTTCACATCTCCTTGGAAGGGTTCAAGAATGGAGGTATTCAGCTGAGTTGCAGGTCCCATGGCTGGTACCCAAAACCCAAAATTCAGTGGAGAGACCATCAGGGGAAGTGTCTGCCTCCAAAGGCTGAAGCCATTGTCCAGAATGCCCAGGGCCTATTCGGTCTGGAAACATCTGTGATCGTTCCAAGAGGTGCTCACAGAAATGTGTCCTGTTCCATTCAGAACCCTTTGCTGAATGAGAAAAAAGAATGTGTAGTCCAGATTGCAGGTAAGTAGATGCCAGCTCATCCTGATCTTCCTCATGGTCATGTCCCTCACATACACTGACCCAGAAGTGGTCAGCAATGAAACAGTAATACCAGGGCTGGGATATATATGGCACAAGTTTACCTGGATAACCTGAAAAATCAGAAGACTTTGTATCAGAAACCTAGGAAGAAGTCACTGGTAACCCACACTGTGAGAAGGGAGATCCCAGAGAGCTACATTAGTACCAAAGGACATGAGCTAAAACCCATAAACTGTACCCACTACAGGTCATCATGACAGCACATACATTCCAAATTTCATCCTTCAAATAATATTTACTGACCACCCATAACAAACCCTAATACCAGCTCTCGGTTTCTCCTATCAGTGGAATGAACAAACTACAAACAAAAGGATTTAATTGCATGATGTATTCGAAGTTGGTAGATGCTACAGACATATGGAAAATACCCAGGAGTGGCTGGGTATGTTTACACATTACAAAAAGTTAGGGAGAGGTAGTAGATGTTTAGGCAAGGAGCCAAAGAGGAGGTCAGTATCTAGTACCAGTCGCATTAACCCATTAAAGTGTTTAATGTTCACAGTTTTTGTCAATTCAAGTATTAAGGACACCCAAATCATGAGATTTTTTTTCATATTGGGTCACAAATTAATAATGATATTTTGTAACAGAAAGAAACATCATCCTCTGATATAGTCAGGTACATATTTCCAACAAAAATAGTAACTTGTCCTCAAATAAAAGGAAAAGTATCATTTGTCACACTTAATCTATTCTAAACTTTGTTGACATGTAGATGGCTATCTGTGTCAGCTAAATGCTTTCGACTAAAACAAATGTAAAACATCTGATATTTCTATATAGTACTTAGGTAGAGAAGTAAACTTGGAGCCAGGAAGAAAGTCAAACTCACATAGAGATATGGGTGGTTTCTCTTGGATATTTACATTTCTAAGAGATGGCCCTTGAAGAAAAGCATTACTAAATTGGAACATCAGTAAATCTGTATAGCTTTCAAAAACTTCAGATCACCTCAAAATAATCAAGAATTCACAATTTTCTAAAGGAAATGTTCTCTTATTTTAAATGGGTCTGGATTTTTTTTTCTTTTAAAGATATCTTTTATTTTAAAGTCAGAGTTGTAACAAGAGGGAAAAACGGAAATCTTCCATCTGCTGACACTCTGCCCAGATGGCCACAACACCCAGGGCTGAACCAGCCTAAAGCCAGGGGCTTCTTCCAGGTGTCCCATGTGAGGGACAAAGGCCCAAACACTTGGGCCATCTTCTGCTGCTTTTCCTGGGCCACCAGTAGGAAACTGGATCAGAAGGAGCAGCCAAGACATGAACTGACACTCATATAGGAGAGCGGCATCACAGGCTTTAATGGCTGCATCACAATGCAGGTCCCAGGAGACACTCTTCTAAAAAGAAGGGAAGGTAGAGGAAGGAGTCATAACAAGTGAGACCACCAGCTGGGATGCAAACATCCCGTGTGGACTCTGGTTTGCATTGGTGCTCCACTTCTGATCCAGCTGCTTTGTAATTGCCTGGGAAAAACTGTGGAATACGGCTCAGTTTCTGGGTCCTTGTCACCCACGTGACACTCCCAGTCCAGGTGAAGCTCCTGGCTCCTGTTTTTTGGTCTGGATCAACCCTGACTATTCCTGCCATTTGGGAAGTGAACCAGCAGATGGAAGATCTTTCTATCTGTATCTCCTTCTCTCTGTGAATCTTTCTTTCAAGTGAAAATAAATCTAGAATGATGGACTTATCACTGACTATACTATTATAATAATGTAGGGGAAATACGAGGAGCTGGAGGGGTAGGAATCTGGGGAAGAAGGAAAGAAATCCCAGAGCTTATGGACCCATATCATAAAATAACAAAATAAATACATTTAATAAAATAATTTTAAAACACTGGCCCAGAGCAGGATACACGCATGTGGAGAGTGAACCAACAGATTTTTAAGTCAAGGTGATAGAAAAAGGAAAAAACAGACTGAACTAGTGGTGATGAATTCTCCCCATTTTTTTTTCTTATCTGGAAAAAGCTTTCTTCCCTTTCACTTTTTTTTAGCCTAGTGTCTAAATCCTCACCTGGCACACACTAGAATATCATATCAGATCCAGTTCATGTCCCACTTCCCATCCAGCTCCCTACTTGTGGCCTGGGAAAGCAGCAGAGGATGGCCTAATGCCTTAAGACCCTGCACCTGTGTGGGGGACCTAGAAGAAGCTTTTGACTTCTGGTTTAAGATCAGCTCAGCTAAGCTCCGGCTGTTGCAGCCACTTAGGGAATGAATCAGCAGATGGAAGATCTTTCTCTCTGTCTCTGCTTAGCTCTATAAATCTGCTGGTCAATAAAAATCAATCTAGGCACTCTCCTTTGCTTCCAAAGGAGAGCTTTGATGGATATATATCTTTAGTTGAAAGATTTTTCTCTTTCAAGACCTTGAATATATCATCTTATTCTCTCTTTGCCTATAGGGTTCCTCATGCTGAGGAATCTGCCACTAATTTTATGGCATTTCCTTCCTATGTAATTGACATTTTTTTTTCTTATTATCTTTGGGATCGTCTTCTTATACTTCTCTTTGAAGTTTAAGAATAGATACAGATATAGATATATAGATATATAGATACGAATGGTATAGATATAGACACCTTGCAGAAGAACTTTTTGGCTAAATTTAATTGTTGTCCTTTGAGCTTCCTATAGTTGGAGTCTTTTAATATTTTACTTTTAATTTACTTGAAGTTTTCAGCTCTAAATTTTCTGGCTGATTATTTTTAATTATCTCTATCTCTTTAAAGGCTTCTGGCTCTAGCTGTCTATTATGTTCTTCTGTAAGTGTCATACTTCTTTTTTATGTTTCTTGTGTCTTTATGTGGACATCTGTGCTCTTGCTGTAATGGCTTCTTCTTTAAGGTGCAGCTTCTGCTGGAAGATATTTTCAGTTCAGACAGAAATGAGATGCCAGTTGCATAGCTTTGCCTTTGGTTGTGAGTGATCCCAGAATTTTAATTTCTGCATGACTTTGTCAGTTGTAATCAAGCTCAACTTGAATGATACTAGGACTGCTGGTCTCACAATACTTGTGCACTGCTGCTGTGAGATTTGGATGGGATGTTCCCCACATTACTATTGCATGGGCATTGGTATTGCTGTAGTTTTTGTCACCAAAACCCCTTGTGCCACTATTGGCTGAAGTGAAAGGGGTGTTGCCCATTTCTCATGGAGTAAATATAAGTTATGCTGGCTATTCACTGAGAGGTGTGGGACTGGAGAAGTAGAATCCAGGTCGGACCTTCCCCTATTCTCACCAATAGGTTTAGGTGATTCCAAAGGATGTAAGAGCAATAATCATAATCTCAGAAGAACAGAACTGAAAGTGTAGAAAGTGTAGATTACTGTATATAAGCAACTATTGGCCTACATTAGTGAAATGAAGATAAGGCCATTTCTAGTCCCACATAGACAGGTGTGGGTACTCCAGACCAATAGCTCCACTCTCAAAATGTCAGAATACATTGGACACCTTATTTTATGGTTATAGAGTGCTGAGAAATGTGCACTGGCAACCACAGGTCTGGAGGCTCCTACAGGGTGAACGCTGGTGACTGTATGGAATGGTTTCAACAGTCCCAGTCCTAGAGATGCAGAACTTGAGTGTCTTATACAGATTTCAAATACTATTCCCAAGTTATATTGGGCATTATGCATTAACATGTACATACCTCTTAAAAGAGAGAGAGAATAAAAGAAGAATCAAAGAAACTATAGGAAGTTAGGCCTGGTGCAATAGCCCTAAACTGGAAGGAGAGGGTAAGAGTCATCACTCCTCTCCTTTCACACTAGCAACTGGCAGCACCTTACCCTTCTGAACTAGTTCAAGGCCCAGCTTTTCTACCTGGTCTCACCTACAGAGAGCACTGCTTAGCAGCTTTACCTTCCAATCAATTTTGCAAATGGCTGTTGTAGCATTCAGATTTAGTGGGCTAATGCAAGGGCCCTTGGGAGATATGAGTGTGTGCTAATTTTGTCTCAGTGTTTAGTGGCGCCTAAATCAAGACCACTTTCTGTAAATTGGTTTCCAGATGAGTTTCTACCCAGAACTTCTCCCTGGAAGGGAGCTTTTCTTGGAATGCTGGTAGGGCTGCCTCTGCTCCTGGCTGGCCTCACAACACTGGGAGTGTACTTCTTCCAGAAGCAACGGAAATTTCAAGGTAAGAGGCACAGACCAATACCTTGACTGGAAATTCCATCCCAGGATGTGTTACAGAAAAATCATCCTGCAGAAGCCAGGACTGGGAGTACATAGGGAACAGACTCAATCTTCTCCTTTCCCTCTTCCTTTCAGAAAAGTTCAAGAAGCAGAAAGAGAATGAACAAGGTAAGTATAACAGTCCCACTTGTACCCCCATCCCTGACCACAGAAAGAGATGGTTCTGGTCTCAGGCTTGGATGGGTACAGGAGCAGGTTACAGAGGGTTGGCACAGAGGTTTGCACATCTTCTTCTGTCTCACACACAGCGCAGCCTATGCTCCCAAATACACCGGAATGTTGTTCATGCACTTTGGGACATGAGGCCTTGGTGTTCATCCATCTTTCCAGTCTGATGCACTGCCCACTCTGAAAGAGTCTCCTCTTTTTTCCTTTCTTTTCCAGGCAAACTGAAGACAGAGCTGGGTAAGATCTGGGAACTGCAAACACCATGCATGTCATGAACCATTAGAGTAAATTGGGCAGCAAAAGAGAAATTGTTTCAGTAGTTTTAAGATCTGTTTGTGAAGAGACATGTGACAACTGTATAATTCTGAGTCCATAATTGTCTCATCCCTTCCTCTCCACTCCCACCCATGCTAAGAAATCACCTGCCTACAGCATGTGACTCACAACAGCTCTGCTCTCTGGACAGGTCTGGTTGTTGCAGCTGCTTGAGGAGTGAACCAGCAGATAGAAGAGCTTTCTCTCTGTCTGTCCTTCTCTCTGCAATTTGACCTGCCTTTCCAATAAAATGCAAATAAGCCTTTAAAGAGAAAGAAAGAAAGAAAGAAAGAAAGAAAGAAAGAAAGAAAGAAAGAAAGAGAGAAAGAAAAAAAGAAAGAAAGAAAGAAAGAAAGAAAGAAAGAAAAAGAGAAAGAAAGAAAGAGAGAAAGAAAGAAAGAAAGGAAAGAAAGAAAGAAAGAAAGAAAGAAAGAAAGAAAGAAAGAAAGAAAGAAAGAAAGAAAGAAAGAAAGAAAGAAAGAAAGAAAGAGCAAGCCAGCACTTGAACTGGCAAGGAGCATTTATTTTTATTTTCTTTAGGATGTATTTATTTAAAAGCCAAAATTACAAAATTGGAGGGGATGGAGACAGAGGGAGAACGAGAGCGAGAAGCAGAGACAGAGATCTTCTATCTATTGGTTGACGTCCCATATGATTGTAATGCACAGGGCTGAGCCAGACTGAACCCAGGAGCCAGGAGCTTCATCCAAGTCTCACCTGGGCCATCTTCTACTGCTTCCCCATGCAAATTAGTATAGAGCAAAATTGGAAGTGGAGCAATTAGAAACTTAAAAACTACAAAACTATCAACCATGTTAAGAAATGGGTAAAGGAATTATAAATTGGAGGGGAAATCAGTGCGGAGGGGAGGAAACTTGGGGAGAGGAATGGGAAATCCCAGTGCCTGTTAAACTGTGTCATAAAACAAAATAAAACTACTTAATTGATTAATTAATTTTAATAAGAAATGAGTGAAGGAAATGAGCATTTTTCAAAATGACAAATTCAAATGGCTAATAAGTATATGAAAAATTCTCAGACTCCCTCACCAATAGGAAAATACAAATAAAACCATGTTGAGGTTCCACTAGCTCTAATGAGAATGGCCTACATTCAAAACTCTGCTAACACCTGCTGGCATGGACGTGGAGAAAAAGGTACCTTACTCCACTGTTGATGGGAGTGTAGGCCGATGTAGCCAGTATGAAATTCAGCATGAAGAGTACTCAGATAAATGAAAATTGATCTATTGTATGACCCAGCTATTCCACTCCTGGTAATATATCCAAATCAAATGAAATCTGCATAGTAGGAAGCAAGTTGTACTTATAGCAGCACAATCCACAACCATGAAGGCACAAAAGCAACCCAGATGCCTTTCAAAAGAGGAAAGGATAAAGAAACTGTAGTTCATCTAGTCCATGTACTACATGAAGATCCGTCCAATGATTCACTCCTAAAGTGACCACAATGGCTGGTGCTGCACCAATCCGAAGCCAGAAGCCAGAAACTTCCTCCAGGTCTCCCACATGGGTGCAGGGTCCCAAGGTTTTGGGCCATCTTTGCCTGCTTTCCCAGGCCACAAGCAGGGAGCTGGATGGGAAGTGGAGCTGCCGGGACTAGAACTGGTGCCCATATGAGATCCCAGTGCATGCAAGACAAGGACTTTAACCACTACTGTATCGCACCAGGCCCAGTAGTGCATTTCTAAGGGCAAAGTATCTGCATCTTTGACATCTGCCTACAGGAAATAATTGAGGTTGACCTGCTTCTAGTCCTTTAAGTGATCCTGAGGCTCTCGGATGCTATATTCAGTACAGGAACTTATTCAGAAGCTCCTCCCCAGGAAAATGTTGATTCCAGGGTGAATGCACAGCACCCTCTTCAAATCAGACAAGAAATCAGAGCCTTGGGGAGGAGCCTCCTTTTTCACGGCATTGCAGAGGCAAAGGTGGGGCCAATTTAGCTGCGGTTTAGGACTAAGGAACCTCTGCCCAGTGCCACAGGGAGGTTGTTCTGCTTATCAGAAAGCTGATGTTTTCTTCCTGTGTTCTGCTTACAGAAAAACTTCAGATGGAACTTGGTAAGTGATCCCTTTAAGAACTGTTTCTTGTTTACATTTTTGCATCTTCTTACCCATACATCCACTTCTCCCAACCAAATATCGTGCTCAGGCTTAAAGCCTCCTGGCTGTGCGGGTGGCAGGAGAAAGGGCAAAGAGGAAAGCCCAAGTACAAAGTTCAGTGTGTGAACATGAATGCAGTGGCGTCCTGGTGTTTTAATGCCTTGTTTTTCCATTACTGCCTTAGATTGGAGAAGGACCGAAGGCCAGGCTGGTGAGTAAAGTCTGTGTCTCTCTTACTGTTTCTTATTTACACATGATTCCCAACATATAATGGGTTGCATTCTGATAAACCTGGAATAAGCTGAAATATTTTAAGTCAAAAATTCATTTAATATACCTGACTTACCACATACCAGAGCTTAGCAACTCAGAGCACTGTAGAATGTAACTGTTTCCCTTCGTGATAATCTGGCTGACTGGGAGCTTCCAGTCTTGCACCTGCTACCCTTGACTGGGAAGGAAGATTGTCCATCTGTCACTAGCCCAGGAAAAAGCCAAAGTACAGCTTATGAAGGCATATTATACCATGGTCAAACAAAACAATCCCAAGTCAGCCCATGGTAAGTTGGAGACTCTACACACACGTATTTCTGCACCTCAGTCACTTGCTTCATTTGGATTTCATTCCGCAGGCTCATGTGAATCTACATTACTTGGTTATACCCAAGTTTTACTTTTGTACTTATTTTTTATTTATTTTTATAATGTCCAGAGGCCCGAGCATACTAGAAACAGTTGGTTCCAATCATGGCTGCAGATCACAATCACCCAGATGCCTGGTTCGCAGCCTCAGGCTGCAGTGGGAATGTAATCACACACATAAAACACGTTTGTCCATATCTGCCCCTATCTCTTACAAAATGATATTACGCATGTTTTTATTTTGTATGTGTTCTTGCAAAATGAGAACTTCTGAAAGGCAGAATTAGAGAGAGATTTTCCATTTATTAATTCATTTTTGATCATTGGCCACAACAACTGATATTGGACCAAACCAAAGCTAGGATCTAGGTGCTCCCTACAGATCTCCAACATGGGTGCAGGGACCCAACAACCTGGATCATCCTCTGCTGTTTTTTAAGGTACTGTAGCAGGGAGATGGATTGGAAGTGGAATGGCTAGAACTACTGCTACAGACCATGGCATAAACCACTGTGCAAAAGAAATAATTCCCAAAATAGAAATTTTAAGAAAAACTGATGATCTTTTTAAAAAGTATAACAAAAATGCTTTGCATTAAATGTATAGATGATTTCTAGGAACTAACATTTTATAGAACGAAGTTATTCTATGCAATGTGCATGCATTTTTAAAGTTCTACTTGTTATTTGGGTGAAAGCAGCCTGGTAATAAATTTACGGAGTTCTGAAGACACCAGCTCTTGCTTTTCCTACTATTAATTATCCATCTCACCATTGCAAAACAGACTGTGATAAAACAGGAGTCTGTTCTGAATGATTCAAGTTCAGAATGGAGACGTGCAGGAAAGGCAGAATATCCACAGCACATTTGGCAGAAAGGCACCAGCTCAGTAAGGACTACCGGGGACTGAGGCTGCCTATTCAGACTAAGGCATGACTCTTTGCCCACATGCTCCATTTTCCTGCTTTTGCCAGCATAATTTTAGTCTGCACAAAGCTTTGGATATAACGTGGCTCTGACATAAGACTCCTACACAAACCCAAATTCCTGAGAAAAGATGGTGTCTCCAAGGCAGGCTGGGTCCAAATCAGCTACAGGAGTAGTTTCTGAGTCTCTGAGTGTCCCTCACGTACCTCAAGGCTCCCTCCCTCGTGTTTCCAAAGTAGCTGACTCCATTTTCTGACCCTCCTTTTCTTGGTTTTGTTTCAGAGTGGCGAGCAGCTCAACAATATGCAGGTAATGGAGGCCAAGAAACGACAGCTTCTGGTGGATTGGCTAGTAGTTAAGCAGAAGGGAGCAATAACTCCAGGAGGCAAGCACAGGGCTTAGACTCAGAAAAACAAAATATACTTGCATACATACCAAACCATGATACATATGCCTGCATGTGTATTCTGGGTTTCACTTGGTTTGTTTCCACTCAGCAGGAAAGCTGCAGCTTGAGCCTGTTTGCAGGAAAGAGCACCAAGTCTATAAGGAATCTGAAAGATCATGGGCAACAGGAAGGGTCCTCCAGTGCCCCATCATCAGATGGATGTGTTTTGCCAATGAGGGTTTTGGAGTGCAGGGTATTGGACTAGATGATCTCAGGGCTCTCTTCCATTTTAAAACTCTTAAAATTACCATAAAACAAACACCCAGTGCTCATCTTGAAGTTTCAAAGTTGAATAGAGGAGTAGAACCTTCCCACAAACCTCTTTAAAAAAAAAAAAAAATACTTCTGTGTCACCAAATATGGGATTTAGCAGTGTCCCAGTTCAACAAAGGAAAGGGGTTCCTCTTAATACTTAAAAATGCCCAGAAGCATGCGACTGGGGGTGTTGGCCAGAGTTGAGAAGGGTGTGACAAATCTTTCAAAGGTTTCTTGCTTGCCTTTTGAAGGGAAGGAATAGGAGTGTCCCAAAACTGTCGTGACTGACACTAACCCAATGTTCTCTGCAGTGGAGGTGACCCTGGATCCAGCCACAGCACATCCCAGCCTGGAGGTTTCAGAGGATGGCAAGAGTGTACGCTCCCTTGGCACCACTTCAGGCTGGAAGCCGTGCGACCCACAACGCTTCTCAGACCAGACATGTGTGCTGAGCCACCAGCGCTTCTCTACAGGCCGTCACTCCTGGGAGGTGCACGTGGGCTGCCGCAGCCGCTGGTTTCTGGGAGTCTGTCTGGCCACAGTGCCGCGGACAGGACCTGTGCGCCTGAGCCCGGCTGGAGGTTACTGGGTTATGGGACTGTGGAACGGTTGCGAGTACTTCGTCCTGGACCCGCATCGCGTCTCGCTTACCCTACGTGTACCACCAAGACGTGTGGGCATCTTGTTGGACTGCGACGCAGGAAAGCTGTCCTTCTTCAATGTGTCCGATGGCTCCCACATCTTCACCTTCACCGACACGTTCTCTGGGCAGCTCTGCGCCTATCTCAGACCCAGAGCTCCCGATGGCAGTGAAAATCCAGATCCTCTAACCATCTGCCCATTGCCGGATAAAGGCAGACGCATCCCCGCGGAGGACAATAATGACTGCTGGTTGCAGCCTTATGAGCCTTCGGACCCCTCCCTGGGGGTGTGGTGAGCTCACGAGTGGGGTTCTTGGCAGCTTCCCGGGGACCCCCTGCTGCTTTGCGCTTGTGCTTGCTGTAGAGTCGAATGCTTCCAATGAAATGATCTGTGGGGTGTGTGTGTGAGAGAGAGAGAGAGAGAAATCACACGGTTTTCTTTAAGGAAGATAGAGTTTCAAAGTTCGTTTGTGCATGTTATAAGAATGAATGATACTGAAGTCAATGCGTTCACTTTGGTGGATGAGTAACTGACATGGGAGAAAAAGGAGCAATCTTGTTGGATTGGCTCAGAGAAAAATTTGTGTGATCTCATATTTTTTGTGTTTATTTGCTCTTAAAATATTTAGAAGCAATATATCTCATAAGCAATAGGTTCACCGATACGCAGATCTCAGGTTTGAATCTATTTCCTTCTAAAATGAAGTTAGAGAAATTTCTGATTCTGAGGCCGCAGCAGAGAGTACAAAATGAGCTGGACCATCTTGTGTCATAAAATGAAAATGTGCTGACGCTAAGCAACAAGAGGAACAAATTCAGTAGGTCAATTGTACAAAATGGAGGTCAACACCCATGCGTTGTGTACTTGAAAATGCTGCTAAGTGGATTATAAATGTTCTCACCATAAACACCTGTTGTGTATGTGAGGCAAGGTGTAGGTTACTCACCTTGATTTAGTTGCTCTGCCGTGCACACATGAACAAAATGTCACACTGTACACCACAGACAATTTGTGTCAAAACAGATGATTAATGTAAATGCTAACAAAACATATAAAAAGAAATTAATGAGGACATAGCAAAAGAGAGATGCCAACATGCAGGGGTTTGACTAACCTTATATGTGCGGACAATTTGAACATCAAAATCCATAACAATGAGACTGGATTAAAAGAAACTGAGTAAACGCAATGTACATGAGTCCCTGCTTATGTTCTTTCTTTCCTGGGTTTTTTGTTTTGTGGGGTTTTTTTAATCTTTCTTTTAGTGATGTTTACATAGTTGAGTAGGCTGTATACCCATAAAGACCACTAATTACGGTGGGAAGGGTCAAAGAGTAGGATAAAGCGGATGAAATCGTTGTTTTCTTTTTTTATTTTTTCTTCCTGTATTGGAAAAGTGGGGAGAAAAGCTGCTCCACGTTCCATCCAGCTCCCTGTTTATGGCCTGGGAAAGCGGTGGAGGATGGCTCAAAAACTTGTAACCCTGCCCCCATGTGGGAGACCCAGAAGTTCCTGGCTCCTGGCTTCGGATTGGCTCAGCTGTGGACGTTGAGGTCATTTGGGAAGTTGTGGAGAGCGGAGCCGCGCCTCAAAGATGGCGCTTGCTGACTATTGCTTCGTGGCACAAAGGTGGTAAACAGGTTTTGGGAAGTTACTGAGGATTGGGCCGAGCATGCAGGGAAGCTACGTGACCTAAGTCATGATTGGTGTGTTTATCGCATGATGTGAGGAGCTGTGTATGGATTGGTTTGTGCAATGTAAAAGGTTGTGGGTAAGAAAATGGTTAAAAGGAGATTCCCCTGGGCATGCTTCAAGGTTATGCTGTAATCGCTTCACTGTAATAAATCTTACAACTGCTGCAACTTTTTCTTTCTTTTCTTTGCCACTACGCTTGAAGTCTTGACCAATAAACTTTTTAAAGAGTCTTTACCGTATCGGGGTTTTGCTCGCGGGACGAGGGACCCCGATAGGAAGTGAACTAGTAGACAGAAGATATTAAGATATTTTTGTCTCTCCTTTTTTCTGTAAATCTACCCTTGCAATAAAAAATAAATAAATCTTTTTTAAAAAATAAGAAGTGGTGTTTTTAGTACTCTGCATCATCCACACTCTCTGTGAGGGATGACTGTACGCCTGGGCTGTGACTAGCTCCCACTGCTTGCATCAGCCTAAGTGAGGACGGGCAACTCACAGAGATCTGCACAGTGTCATAACGCTACCGGCCCCACAGGGAATTATACCAAAGAAGAAAACTATTCCTGAAGAATAAGGCTGGTGGACTTCCAATTGGTAAAGTCATTTTGAACTCAGTGTTGATAGCCTCTGCCAATCTCTAAACGTGAACAGTCTTGACACAGTAACTGAGCTTGCAGTAATATATTCTACGTAAATACCTGCATTGGTACCTAAAGATGAGAGGATGTTCACGGCATCAGTATGAGGCAAAGCCTGGGAACCATTTTCTACCTACCAGAAGAATCAATCAATGGATTTGAACTATGGAGTACTACGGATCCTACAAATCTTTATGGTCCATGTAAATTTTTATACAGTACAGTAATGTTTTTGAATTATAAGAAGTCAGTCCATGTTTTCTATTGTGTCTCATGTCAACAGAAAGCCTTTTAAATGCATGGTTTAAACCATCTGACTGGTCAGCCTATTATAATATCTCAGGATAATGACATGTTTTCATATCTGTATTTCTCAAATCCCTACCTTTTGTTGTCTCTATAGACTCCTTCCTTCCTGTTCCGCAATAGTGTTGGGTGAACTTCTGGTACTCATAGACTTTTATTACTAAATGAGCTAGGCAATTCTCAAACTCATTGTATTGTGACTTCATGGATGGCAGGGACTCTTCTGCCTAACAAACCAGCACTTCCTCCTTCTGAAAGGCTATTGCTACTCTTTTAGGCTGAAGCAAGAAGAAACACTGAGGGAAATTACGTAGCCCTTTGTTTGATTTGCCTACCTTTGACTAAACTCTGACTCATGCATAGCAGCACTCTGGTGTACCGAAGATGGAGGATGGCATACTCGGGCAGGTTGCAGCCAAGTTGCTCCATAGGGCAAACTTTTCAGATTTTTTAAAGTAGTTTGGAGGACTGGCAGAGATCCTTTCTCCTCTAACCATCTCAAAGGAGTCCCCATTTATCTCCTCATTTCAACCTTTTGCAAAAGAAACCAGATCTACTTTCATTCATGTATTTGACACATTTATTTCTTTATTTGTACATATTGACCAAATCAACCACTTCTATAAAATGAAAAATTATGAAGACCAAAACATAATTATGACCATTCAAACTAGATAGCACATACATTGGTACAAGCATTGACGGTGGGTTCAGATGTACCGGTAGATATTGTGTCAAAAGGTGTCAAACACTTGCTCTTTCTCCTAAAGCTGTGCATTCACGTGAGCCAAAATTTGTTTCTAAAACAAATCTTTTCCAATTTAAAAATGTTTATACTTTTCAGAATCAAGCCTCGTTAGGTTCAATACGAGTTCCTAACATCTAGTTTCACATGTAATCTTCTCACTTGTAAAAATTAAAAAATCAAATTTTGAAAGAAACTTAAAACATTCTATAAATGTAATTGCACAGGTATTTTGCCAGCTCTGATACTAGAACAGAAATCTCTGTTTTCCTGAGTTAAGACTACTCTGTTTGCTTCCTCTTACAATGCTTCAGTCTGACTCCAGGTGATATTTTCTCTGGCCCAGTGTATGCTTCAAGGCAGTTCAGAACTCGGTTCGATGGGGGCCAAGGTTCAGGGGGTCCCCCACACTGATGAGATGGGGGCGGCACCTCCTCCAGCCAGTGAACCCCTCTGTACTGGCTGCCACAGTCTCCATAACGCTGACAAGTTTTTACCTTCTTTCCAAACAACAATTCACATATTTTGTAAATAAAAGCCTGAAAATAGTTCATTGCTGGTGTTCTGTGCAACCGCCACTGATGCTACCTCCCCAGAAGAGGATCTGGGAAGAATTAGTCAATGTAGAAGCTGGTAGCCCTAGAAGAGAGAAACAGAAAAGTTCAAAAGGATGTAGACTAGAATTCTTAAAGGGCCTGGTATTGATTGATTTCTGAAGGATGAATCTTACACAAGCTTGGAAACATCTCAGACTTACCTGGAGGTCACAACCTACCTGAAAGCCCTGATATGAAGTACACATGACTAAAATTTGTCCCTCTTGGTAAACCAGTTGTTTTTAGTAGGTCAAAGAATATGAAATTAAACAAAATGATCGCAAGGGAATTGTGTTCCTGAGATAGAATTAAGTCCCTTATTTTGTTAGTCATTGCAGGGAACCTCAGGCATTGAAGGAAGTTACAACAGACATGTTCTTTTTACCCTGCCTAGTTTCTAAGCATTATCTTCATTCTTCAAACAAGAAGACAACTGGATATAAAATCAACGAACTCTTAGAATCATTGGTGGTCATGGAAAACCAGTTCCCTAAAATCTGGAGAGAAAATAAGATACAGAGAATCAGAGCTTGAACAGGAGAAGTGTGCTGTTGGAATCCTGCAACTATAGTTGAGCAACAGATGGAGGCAAGTATGGACCAGCTTTGGTTCAAAACTCCAGGAGGAACCCATCTTAGGGGGATACCCACATTTTTTTGAGTTTCAGCTGGCAGAAGTCCACCAGACTTTTAACTATAAACACTGAATGAAAATTTCCTGTAGCTTATAATAGGGGAAGGAGAAAAGCAATCTGTTTTAATTTGCCAGATTATTCTGTCCCTCCTTCAGCTCTTGCTTCAAAAAGCTGCCCTCAAGAAGTAATAGCTTCTATGCCAAAACCTTATCTTACCCGGGGAATTAAAATTAGCCAACTCCTCCTCAAGTCTTCATGGAATATCTAAGAGGAGAAAAAAAGAAAGGTGAGATGCACTTATGAAGTGCATCAGAGATACAAAATCATAAAAAGACTGACACATGACCCTAGGACCATAGAATGCCCTGATCGCAAATAGTTCAGCAGATGGGAACAGAGTGTGTGTAAAAACATGCAACCACAGCTAAGACAACAGCAAGGCTTAGATGCTATTTAAAAATCATTTTCTAGAATAGACAGAAACAAGAACTCTGGAACCTAGTGTTCCCACATGGGAGACATGGGCTGGGCTAAATAGCATCACCTCTACCCACTGGTGCATGCAAAAGCTGAGGCTGTGGGGCATCCCTGGCTGGGCTTGGCTGCAGTACCTGCCCACCCGTGTCAGGGCATGGAATAGGCCACATCAGACAGGGCCACAGCAGCCATCAGAATGTGAGAGAACTGGGACGTAGAACAGATTCTACAGGGAAATTATGGGCTCATCTCTATAGGACTGCAGCCAGTTGTGGTGAAAGGCCAAGATTCTACTAATTTCTAAACTCCTACCTAATAGTCTGGGA